CACAGGAACCTCCACATGAGTATACTTAACTTCCCAAAGTTTTATGGCTATCGGATAAATGGCGAAGTAATTCATATAGGGCAAACGGACAAACATACTTTCATTTCTATACATTTAGACGTATATACACTTTAACCAGTGTCCGCATTCTCGCCCCCCGGAAATTTAATTAGCCTAGATCTACTAAGTAGTCCTACAAGTATAAAGGAAAAACAAACTGCATCATTTAGTAAATTTTTATGTTTTGTATCATTTTGATGTCTCAAAAAACGAGCCTACATAATGTACATAAACTTTGCTCGCTTTTTTTTTTGTTCGTTCGTTCGTTCGTTCGTTCGTTCGTTCATTCGTTCGTTTGTTCGGTCGTTCGCTCGTTCGTTCGTTCGTTCGTTCATTTGTTCGTTCGTTCTTTCGTTCGTTCGTTCGTTCGTTCGTTCGTTCTTTCGTTCGTTCGTTCGTTCGTTCGTTCGTTCGTTCGTTCGTTCATTCGTTCGTTCGTTCGTCCGTCCGTTCGTTTGTTCGTTCGTTCGTCCGTCCGTCCGTTCGTTCGTTCGTTCGTTCCTTTGTTCGTTCAATCGAACTTTTTGTATCCAAGGGCTTTAAGAAGTTGTAGGTGACTTTAAAGATTCCAAGCTACACATCGGGTTTTAACCCAAAAATTTACATCAAAAGTGGTAAATAAAGCGAATATTTTTTTAAAGAATATTATAAAATTAAGCTTTTAAACAGCACCGACATTTTTAAAAACCTTACTTTCTTTAAGAGATCTCATTATGCTTTGATTAAATAAAGCAAGTTTATTTTAATTTCTTATTTTTGATGCATTTTTAAGCTTATTATTATTATAGATATATGTTTTATTCATTGAATATAATATGTGTAGTATATTTAAAATGTTTCTAACTTGCATAAGTTCCTGTGGTCAAAACCTAGCTATGGTCAAAGCCCCGCTTTGGACAAAGAACTTATGGTCAAACCACCTCTGGCCAAAGTCCGTATTATCAAAGCCCCGCTTTGGACAATGGTTGTTTGGTTTTTATGTCCTAGTCTCAGACCTTATCGTAAGAACCTAGTAAAACATTCCTTCGTATAGCCTACGTATAAAAGAGATAGCTGTTGTTTAGAAAGTTAGTTATATTGTAAAGCGAAAGCTCATATAATAAAGGATACAAATCATTTGCATATATATATATATATATATATATATATATATATATATATATATATATATATATATATATATATATATATATATATATATATATATATATATATATGTATATATATATATATGTGTATATATATATATGTATTATATATATATATATATATATATATATATATATATATATGTATATATATATATATGTATATATATATATGTATATATATATATATATATATATATATATATATATATATATATATATATATATATATATATATATATATATGGGTGTGTGTGTGTGTATGGTTGGCATTGTATGTCTGTGTGTGCCTAAGTCTGTGTCTGTGTGTGTGTATATTTTTATATTAAAAAGTTGTTAAAAAGGCGCCCCCTCATTTGGAAAGATTGACGGTGCTTTTTATTAGTCAATATCCATGTATGTTTTTTTGCTGTAGAATACAATTAAATCAGTGTATAGAGCCATGTAGTCCTTTACTTTATTAACTTTCAGTGTTTTTAGTTCAATGCCCTAGCTTAAAATGAGGTTTTTTAAAATAGTTTTTCTACCTATTTTGGCGCCCCCTTACGGACAGCCATTGGAGGCCGACACACCTGCCCTCCCCTAACTACGCCACTGAATTCGAAAAACAACGGGATAATTATGTAATCATAACTATAAAATTGTACACACTATTGCAATCTGCACCAACCAAATTCTGATAAATATAGATCAGGGTTTGTTTCTTGACAAATTTTGCTATCGGGTGAGAATATTTACTTAGTTGTAACTTTAAACTTGAAAATTTACACGTAACACATAAGCTATGACCAAAACATGTTCATAAAATTATTCACATTTTAGGTGTGTTTATTTTAAAGTAATGTCCTTTTCAAATCATAAGATGTGTTGCATAAAAACATGTAGCTGGAAATAAAATACGTTAAACTTAAATTATTAAAGATCAGATTTCGTGTACAACAAAAAATTGTTCAAATGCTTGTGCTGTTACATCCATCGAGCCATGGGAAGAAGTTTGTTACTGCCCTAAGGGAATGAGATTATCTACAGATAACACATCGTGCATAGGTTTGTGTAAAATATTTTTTCTTTTTTATTACATGCAGATAACACGTTTTTTAACGTACAAAAACTGTTTAAAATTATAACAAAATAATAATTTTCAAAATAATCTTCATTACATTATTTTAAAACAAATGTAAAATAAAAAGTTTCTAAATTATCTTTGAATTGGTGAAATGAATGATAGAAACAGATTAATTTGGTTAACGATTTAAAAAAAAAGAAATCGACTTTTGTTTTTCCATCGATATAAAAATGCAATTTATTAAGTTCATCTATTGAAACAGTTTGCGACGATGGATTATTTGGGGACAACTGTGACTACGATTGCAAATGTATCAAAGAAAACACTATTTCCTGTGATAAAATAAATGGCAGCTGTATCTGTAAACCTGAATGGACATCGGTAGACTGTAGCCAGGATTTTAATGAATGCTCACTTAAGGACAAAGTCTGTGGAGACAACGCCTTTTGTTTCAATACAGTTGGATCTTTTTTTTGCTTTTGTACAATAGGTTTAGCCCTTCAAAATAGAACACACTGTACAGGTAATGCACGATAGGTTTCTTATTTTACTCAATTTTTTTTTTAAGTCGTTTTGAGATATGCATATTTCTTGGCTAAAACCAAGACCTTTTTTTCCTTTTTTTCATTTTTTTTAGACTGTGGACCTATGATAACTACCTTTCCAGGATATTTGTATTCTGGATCATATGGAGATTATTATTATGTAGGAGTTGTGTGTTCCTGGACTTTAATTGCCCCGGATGATGAAAACATCTCTTTTAGGTTACAACATACTCGTTATGTGTGTCTTTAGTCAACGTTTGTGTCTGTCTCTTGTAGAGATTTTTCTGAAGATTTATTTATAAAAATACTTACAATAAAATAACCATAATAATGGATACATTTTTTTCAGTTTTCAGAAAATCTATATATATTCTGATACTGTAGTTTCGATCTTTGATGGAGTCAATTCCAGCTATCCTCTATTGGGACAGGAAAGCACTACTGCCAATTTACCATTAACGACTGATATCGTTCGAGCTAGTGGAAATGCGATGCATATTCAACGCTACTCTGTTTATGGTCTGTATGCCAGCGACTCGTTTGAAGCGATTTATTGGACTCACGGTAATGCCGATGACTACAGTATTGTGAAAACATCTGCAGCTAGTGATTGCATGTTGTCGCGTGTAAATTAAAATTCTTTATCTTTTTTCTTCTCTTTATATAGAATGCACTGGACTTTATTATGGTTTGAACTGCAACATTTCTTGTCCTTGTAAGCCAAGTAACACAGACTCTTGTCATCGTGTACGAGGGAATTGTAACTGTAAAGTCGGGTGGCAATCTATTGACTGCTCTGTTGATATAAACGAATGTCTTGATCCCAATATCTGTGAAGATGTGTATTCCATTTGTGTCAACACTTCGCCTGGGTATAACTGTCAGTGTAAACCTGGACTTGTACAGAACAGCTCAACAAATGCTTGTAATGGTACGTATAAGATTATTATGTAATTATTCGATTCTACTTTTAAACACACAAAAATAAGTAACAATTAAGCAGACATCGTAAAGAAATTATTCAAACTGTAGTCACCCTCTGTCGGTTTACGAAAATGAAGTTGAATACATTAAATTTCAAAATATTGTCTGTTTGTCCAACCGATCAAACACTATTATTTGCGTAAAATTTAATGATAATATTGACAGTGTCAATGATAACGGACTCTCTTTTTTATCTTTTCAACTGTGAAACTCAATCATGGGATTTATTGGATCTTAAAATAGATATTATCTTAACGGAAAAATTCGATTCCTTTAATTTACAAAGTCTTTAGCGTATTTTTCACGATTGATAAAAATATTCAGGGAACTTCAAACTGTTATTTTTAAAAATAAACATCTTCTATATAAACAGTTAGCCCTTTTTAACTTTCTCGTATATACGAAGTATAGAGAAATTATTGTAATCGTGCAAAACAAAAATCGAGATTTCTGCAAGTCTCGACGTTTTAGGGCTCACTGAGTCGGAAAAACATAGTTTTGCAATCTTGTCCGTATGTATGTGTGTATGTGTGTCTGTCTGTCTCTCTCTCTCTCTCTCTCTCTCTCTTTCTCTCTCTCTCTCTCTCTCTCTCTGTGTGTGTGTGTGTGTGTGTGTGTGTAAACACGATAACTTGAGTACCGTATCAGCTAGGTTGATGAAATTTCATATATAATTATTATATTAAAAACGTAGATCCTATCAACTTTTGAGCGATTTCCGATAACCGCAAGTGGTATTTTTTCTACTTTGAATTTTTCAAAAGCCTATAACTTTAGTACTATTTCAGATTGATAAATGAAATTTCACATGTAAGTTAAAGATCTAATATTCGCTACCTTCTATCAAATTGTGAGTAATTTCCGATGAACGGAAGTAGCAATTTGCGCTATTTCCAATTTTTGAAAAAACGCATGTGAATTTATAAAATACTAATAATATTGCGCACTATTATGCATATTTTATTTGGCGTTCACTTGGTGCGCAATTCGTATTTCTACGAGATTTTATTCTATTTTCAAAAGTTTAAGTATTTAAAATGGATTAAAAATCATGTATATAGACCGAGTTCCCATTCCCTGTTTTTTTATATAAGAATATTCGAGAAAGTTTAGGGGAGATCACTCCCGGTTTATTTATAGTTTATTAATCAAACTATGATAAAAAAATACTAAAAATTTGATTTCTACTATCTTATTGTAATACGTTAGGGCCTAGGCCTAAAGAAAATTTTCTTATTCTAAACGTGCCGAGTATCTTGTTTATTTCATTACAAAATTTTAATACATCGCCTTAACGCGGAAGGGGGGGGGGAGAATATATACAGAATATGAATATATTCATCATTATAAAATGTTGTGTAAAATTTTATAGGACCTATAAAATTACATTTTTAGTATAAACCCTATTAAACAAATAAAATCATAAGCTTTCGAAATAAATATTATAGTAATGCCCTTGACAGTTTTCAATTCGCATGTATTATCTGTTGATTTTTTTTGTTAATAAAGTTGTCTTTTTAAATGTAAAAGTAAGGATGGCTGGACTGTCTTCTCTCAAACTTCAATAAAATGAATGACAAAAACCCAGAGAGTATTAAGGCCGTAACGATAAAATCAATAGTAAAATAATTAAATAAAGAAAATCTCATTTATTGTCAAACTAGCCATCGGCACATGTTTCACGTAAATTATAGGCCTATATATTTTAATTTTAAAATGTTGTACTTGTTTAAGAAAAAATAATTTGTAAAATAGATATTGGTCAAAACGCAATGCGCATTATTACACGCTGAACGATATTAATGACAAAGCAAAGAAATAACTAATTAGCTAAAAATCCGACACATTTAAATTAAAAACTTATAAAAGTTTAGGCCGAAAAAATCGTATTGTTTACATTTCATAGCGTACGTAGCTCTAAATCATATTTGAATGAAATAGTTCATTTCTTTATTTTATTCTAAACTCGGCAGATGACGTCATTAGTTTCGTGTTCTTTTAGTGTAAACAATAAGCGACGTCATTGTTAAATGCGTTCTTGTCCCAAGTATAAACACTTTTCCGGTTGCATAATTAAAATTGTGTTTCTACATTCGAATACGCCTTTATTTTTTATTTTTATTTTTAAAATAAAATTGTGGTTATACATTTAAAACATCTACCATATTATTTTCAACGAAATTCCGTATCAAGTTCTCGATATATCGCTGCAGATTCTGATGTGATATCCGGCAAAAATATTTTGCGGACAGAGAGAGAGAGAGAGAAGTGCGCACATGGTCTTTTATATATTAGGATATAGTTCTATAACTAACTTCACACATTTAATTAAGTTCAGAAACAATTAACTGATATTTTAAAAATGAAGTCTATGTATATAAAAGGTCTATCTCTTTGCATATTTATTTCAAACCATATATTATCACAATACAAAAATATATTATTTCTGTTTAAATAATATTATATAATATTATATTAATATAATATTATTTCTTATTCTAAATCGCTGGCTATCGAATGTCATGGCTTTTCAGAATTTAAAAAGTTATAAACACATCGGTTAATTGAATATGAATATATTTATCATTATACACCGAAATCATTAATTCAATTTATTTTTTATTAATAAAGCCTATTTTATGCAAACAGAAGCAGCTACACCGTCAAAACAATTTACAGATACACACACGCATACAAACATATATATATATATATATATATATATATATATATATATATATATATATATATATATATATATATATATATATATATATATATATATATATACTATCGTACCCAACACGCACTTTGTTGCGATCACAGAAGAAAGCCTGACGCAATAATAACAGAGACCATGTGACCTTTTTTTCCAAAACGAATTTATTTATATATTAACAAAGCAGGCGCTACATTTCTTGAATTAAAGTTGTTGGGGGCTCTTGTTTATCCACACAGCGGCTCATGTGTAGCTGAGCGAGCTGTATGAAAGCTTTGAGCGTACATTAATAAAAAAAATTTGTATTAGTGAAATTGAACACGCCTCGGTGACAGCTCAAGTGTCATTGGCATTGGAGGGCGCTCGCAATAGGGACATAGTGCTCAGCGGGAAAATCACACTTAAAAAATTATTGTTTTTTTTTCTTCTCAAAACCTTCTCATCAACTTCCAAAGGGGTCATGGCACTCGTATGGCATCTCTTTCTGCTAGGGCGCCGCCCGTGAGAAATTTTAAAAATTCCACAGGAACCTCCAAAGAAGTATACTCAACTTCCCAAAGTTTTAAGGCTATCGGATAAATGGTGTAGTAATTCATATAGGGCAAACGGACAAACATACTTTCATTTCTTTATTGACGGATTTAGGCGGATATACACTTTAACCAGTGTCCGCATCCCCGCCCCCCCGGAAGTTTAATTAACTTAGATCTATTTAGTAGTCCTACAAGTATAAAGGAAAAACAAACTGCATCATTTTAGTTAATTTACGTTTTGTATTATTTTGATGTCTCAAAAAACGAGGCTACATGTACATAAACTTAGCTCGCTAAATTTTTTTTTATTCGTTCGTTCGTTCGTTCGTTCGTTCGTTCGTTCGTTCGTTCGTTTGTTCGTTCAATCGAACTTTTTGTATCCAAGGGCTTTAAGAAGTGGTAGATGACTTTAAAGGTTGCAAGCTACACATCGGGTTTTAACCCAAAAGTTTACATCAAAAGTGGTAAATAACGCGAATATTTTTAAAACATAAACCGGGAGTGATCTCCCCTAAACTTTCTCGAATATTCTAATATAACACTACGTGGGATGGCAACTCGGAATATAGACATAATTTTTGTTTACTTAAACTTTTAAAAATAGAATAGAATCTAGTAGAAAAAAAGAATTGCGCACCAAGCGAACGCCAAAACAAAATGTACATAAAAGTGCGGAATATTATTAGTGTTTTTTTTTTATTTACCATAAAACAAATTACAACATATTTTACACTGGTAGGTTGATAATACTTTACATAATGGCAAATTATATGTTGGAGTTAAATTGATATGTACAAATCGAAAGAATAACCAAAAGGGTAACAATATAAGAGGTTAAATATAACAAATGACAAAATATAACAACGTTTCCAGATTACAGTTTAACTTTTTGATCACTTCCAAAAAAAAGGAAAGAATCCCCCATACTCACATACTAAATTTTAAAGGGTATTCTGCTTAGTAATGTACTTCTCAAATGCCTCGCATTTTTTTTTTAAAGTGATACATGTGTAAACAACAAATGTATAAAATAAAGGAACTTGTCCCTACTGACAGCATAAAAAATTAATACAATAATAAAATTTACAAAAAAAACTGTGCCATTTTGTCAGAATGTTGCACTGTATCAGTGGGGTGAGCGAGTCATAGCGGCATGGGTTGAAAGGGGGTGGGGATTGGTTGGGTACGGTGGCCCACACATCAGGAGCAATGTTGCGTGACCTGAACGCAATTGATTGTCTACATACAGCGTGTGAGTTCGTGTGTTTCTATGGGGGTTTTTTTCGTTTTTTTTTTTTAATTTTACATATATGATAATACTAAAATAGAAACAAATGATGGATTTACAATGTTTGTAAGCTGTATAAATGAAACAATACACAAAAAGCAACCATAGGAAATTGAATGACAAATGATAAATGGTGCGAAACAAGGTGGGGACATGGGGGTTGAGGGGTGGGAGTCAAATTAATGTTGTTAGAAATGTATTTAGATAATACATCATCTTCAGTATTTAACATAGTATTTCAACACAGGGGTGGGGGTTGTGCGGACGAAGGGGATGCAGTTATGAGTGTAAACTTGATATTGGGGTCTTGAGGTTGAGGGGCGGGGAGGGTGTGATGAAAGTGGATGTGTCTGTTCGGCAATAGTATTAGTACTTTATAAAATAAAGCTCAATTCTGTATGTTTGTAATAAGTTTGTCGTGGATACTTCCATGGATTTAAGTGTTAGATTATTATACTGCTTATGGTCTAAATTTATGAGTTAAAAAATAAATTAATACTGAAAGTGTTGGGAAACAATTTTCATTTTTCAAACTGATAGTAATAATTGTCGGCATGTACATTAAACACAATTTTTTAAAAAATATCATCTTTTACAAAAATTCTAATTGTGTCTGAAAATTGTTTATATTTAGTCCTTTAGCACTTACTTCCCTTTGATAAAATAGGAAAACAAAATTTCTTCCCTTTATAAAACATTGCATTAGTGGACAAGAATATACTTTTTATTACTTTGTTTTGGAAAAAATAATTACATAATTAGCGGGGATTGATCAAGTGCAAATGTTGTAGGTATTTTACGGATAAGCTTGGAGTATTATAATTGTTCATTAAATTTAAATAGGCGCGTCCGCCGGCGCCCCACCAGGGTTCAATTTGGCGCCCTGGGCTATCCTGTAAGCGCTATGGTGTTTAATTTCGCTTTACACAGTGCGATAAATCGAACCCGGGCGTCCTCTGGCGCCCAGACAGGGTGCTAATTGGGGCCCCGGGCCTCCCGTGTTCGGTTTGGCGCATACGTTCGTTTAAGTAAGTGCAAAATACTATGAATAAGTTGAGGTACTATTGTCGTTTATTAAGCTGAAACGGGCGATTCCGCCCCGGGCTAGACTCTGAGCACTTTGCGTTTATGTTCGCGTTAGTGTTTTCTTTGTGTTTAGGTTGGGTTTGCGTTAGTGGTTGCGTTTTGATTTGGTTCGTTTTTGTTCTTTCTTTTTTTTCGATTTCGTTTGTGTTTTTTTATTTGGGTTTGTGTTTGTATTTGTGTTTGTGGTTGGTTTTGCGTTTGGATTTGGTTTGTTTTCGTTTGCTTTTTCGTTTGTTTTTTCTTTGTGTTTGTATTGGTGTTTGTGGTTGTGGTTGGGTTTGTTGTTAGGTTTTTGTTTTCGTTTGAATTTTTTATTGTGTTTAACGTTATGTTTGCGTTTTGTTGTTTTGGTTTTGGTTGGTTGTGGTTTGGGTGGGCAATGCCGGGTTTATGATGATTACTAAACACACAGTTAGAGGTCTTTAACAGAAAGGTTTTTCACAGAAGCCAGAGCAGGGCCTGGCCGGGACGGCTAGTACTTTATAAATTTACATGCGTTTTTTGAGAAATCGGAAATAACGTAAAAGTGGTACTTTTTTACTTTGAATTTTTCAAAAGCATATAACTTGAGTACTATTTCAGATAGACAAATGAAATTTCAAATGTAAGAATGTAAGTAAAAGATTTAATTCTCTACCTTCTTTCAATTTTTTAGTAATTTCTGTTGACCGGAAGTAGTAATTTACGCTATTTCCAATTTCTCAAAAAACGCATGTAAATTTATAAAGTACCAATAATATTCCGCACTTTTATGTACATTTTGTTTTGGCGTTCGCTTGGTGCGCAATTCTTTTTTCTACGAGATTCTATTCTATTTTTAAAAGTTTAAATAATTAAAAATCATGTCTATATTCCGAGTTGCCATCCCACGTAGTGTTATATAAGAATATTCGAGAAAGTTTAGGGGAGATCACTCCCGGTTTATCAAGCTTATTATCATTTTCTTATGTTTAATCATTCAATATAATATGCGTAGTATACTTAAATACTTTCAACTTGCATAAGTTCCTGTGGTCAAACCCTAGCTATGGTCAAAGCCCCGCTTTGGACAAAGCACTTATGGTCAAACCACCTCTGGCCAAAGTTCCTACGATCAAAGCCCCGCTTTGGACAATGGTTGTTTGGTTTTCATGTCCTAATCTCGGACCTTAACGTAAGAACCCAGTAAAAACTTTCCTTCGTATAGCCTACGTATGAAAGAGATAGCTGTTGTTTAGAAAATTAGTTATATTGTAACGCGAAAGCTCCTATATTAAAGGATCCAAATTATTTGCATATATATATATATATATATATATATATATATATATATATATATATATATATATATATATATATATATGGGTGTGTGTGTATGTATGGTTGTCTGTGTGTGTCTGTGTGTGCCTAAGGCTGTGTCTGTGTGTGTGTATGTGTGTGTCTGTGCGTGTCTGTGTCTGTGTGTGTTTATATTTTTATATTAAAAAGTTGTTATAAACGCGCCCCCTACGCCACTGAATTCGAATAACAACGGGATAATTATGTAATTATAACTATAAAATTGCACACACTATTGCAATCTGCACCAACCAAATTCTGATAAATATAGATCAGGATTTGTTTCTTGACAAATTTTGCTATCGGGTTAGAATATTTAATTAAGTTGTAACTTTATACTTGAAAATGTACACGTAACATGTAAGTTATGACCACAACTTATTCATAAAAATGCAAACTTTATATGTATTTATTTCAACATAATGTCCTTTTCAAATTATAAGATATGTTGCACGAAAAATTGCAGTTGGAAATTAAAATATGTTAAACTTAAATTATTAAAGATCAGATTTCGTGTACAACAAAAAATTGTTCAAATGCTTGTGCTGTTACATCCATCGACCCATGGAAAGAAGTTTGTTACTGTCCTAAGGGAATGAAATTATCTACTGATAACACATCGTGCATAGGTTTGTGTAAAAATAATGTGTCTTTTTTTTTTTACATGCAGATAACACGTTTTATTAAACGTACAAAAAATTGTTTAAAATTATAACAAAATAATAATTTTCACAATAATCTTCATTACATTATTTTAAACAAATGTAAAATTAAAAAGTTTCTAAAGTACCTCTGAATTGGTGAAATGAATGATAGAAGCAGATTAATTTAGTTGGCGATTTTAAAAAAAGAAATCAACTTTTGTTTTTCCTTCGATATAAAAATACAATTTATCAAGTTCATCTACTTAAACAGTTTGCGACGATGGATTATTTGGGGACAACTGTGACTACAATTGCCAATGTATCAAAGAAAAAACTATTTCCTGTGATAAAATAAATGGCATCTGTATCTGTAAACCTGAATGGACATCAGCAGACTGTAGCCAGGATTTTAATGAATGCTCACTAAACGACAAAGTCTGTGCAGACAACGCCTTTTGTTTCAATACAGTTGGATCTTTTTTTTGCTTTTGTGCAATAGGTTTAGCCCTTCAAAATAGAACACACTGTACAGGTAATGCAAGATAAGTTTCTTAATTTACTCAATTATTTTTTTTAAAGTCGTTTTGAGATATGCATATTTCTTGGCTAAAACCAAGACCTTTTTTATCCTTTTTTCCTTTTTTTTTAGACTGTGGACCTATGATAACTACCTTTCCAGGATATTTGTATTCTGGATCATATGGAGATTATTATTATGTAGGAGTTGTGTGTTCCTGGACTTTAATTGCCCCGGATGATGAAAACATCTCTTTTAGGTTACAACATACTCGTTATGTGTGTCTTTAGTCAACGTTTGTGTCTGTCTCTTGTAGAGATTTTTCTGAAGATTTATTTATAAAAATACTTACAATAAAATAACCATAATAATGGATACATTTTTTTCAGTTTTCAGAAAATCTATATATATTCTGATACTGTAGTTTCGATCTTTGATGGAGTCAATTCCAGCTATCCTCTATTGGGACAGGAAAGCACTACTGCCAATTTACCATTAACGACTGATATCGTTCGAGCTAGTGGAAATGCGATGCATATTCAACGCTACTCTGTTTATGGTCTGCATGCCAGCGACTCGTTTGAAGCGATTTATTGGACTCATGGTAATGCCGATGACTACAGTATTGTGAAAACATCTGCAGCTAGTGATTGCATGTTGTCGCGTGTAAATTAAAATTCTTTATCTTTTTTCTTCTCTTTATATAGAATGCACTGGACTTTATTATGGTTTGAACTGCAACATTTCTTGTCCTTGTAAGCCAAGTAACACAGACTCTTGTCATCGTGTACGAGGGAATTGTAACTGTAAAGTCGGGTGGCAATCTATTGACTGCTCTGTTGATATAAACGAATGTCTTGATCCCAATATCTGTGAAGATGTGTATTCCATTTGTGTCAACACTTCGCCTGGGTATAACTGTCAGTGTAAACCTGGACTTGTACAGAACAGCTCAACAAATGCTTGTAATGGTACGTATAAGATTATTATGTAATTATTCGATTTGTAACGGACACCTATCTACCCGCCAGATAGATGGTGAACGCCCCCGGATTCTTTCTTGGGGTTATATGCAAATGACCTAAAGCCTAAATGAATGAACATTAACTCAACAACACACTAGGGCTCGGTTTCGATGTCTAGGGAAAACTAGTGAAACTATTGAAGTTAACAACTCATTCAATCTGCATACAACCTTTAATAAGTGAACGCAGTTGTGGCAGAACACAAGGTTAAACAAGATAAAATATTTAGTTTGGAAAATAACAAAACCCAACTTACAAAGCGTAAGAAAAAATACTATCACAGATTCTAACACTTTATAAAAATAGCCACAGGTCACATAACACTGCTATAGCATCAAGAATCACTTGGCCACAAGTAATATAATACTAGAATACTTAAACAACTTAAGAATGCATAGCACACTCAGGACTTAAGCTCTCTCACGTTCAAATGGTCAGAATGGACTGCCGGACAAAATGGACGGCCTGGTCAAAATGGACTGCCTGGTCAGAATGGACTGCCTCGTGCCGCCTGTGGGCGATCTAGTTATAGACTTAGGCAACAGGGGAGGTTACCTTCAACTCATGTGGCCATTGGTTGGGGTGGTCATCTGATCTGAATCAATCAATCAGATCTTGATGGAAAATTTCTGAGTCTTAGACACTCTTAGTAAGATAGTGGAAAAAACCCGGTTGTTGCACCATCAACCATATATGGTATTATAACAATGTCAAACTAAAACATTACTAGACCTAAGTAGGTCACATCCCCTCCCTTTTTGGAAGTGACAGATAGGTTCCACAAAAACATACATAAGGAACCAATCTGGCAATGAAATAAAAAAAATGTTTTACAAATGTAGCCATTCAAAATCTTAATACCAGATGAAAACATCCCTGGAAACAAAAGGGAAGTAACTCAAACTTTTACAATTTGTGAAAGGGGAGTAACCCTTTCAAAAAATAACAATACATCCAAATCCCTCAGAAAGGGTTATTACAATATTTCCATGTGGATATTAAAAGTGGTAAACCCGACAGGGTAAAACCTTTATTTCAATGACTAGCTACAATATCAACTGAGTCATATGAGACATATTATCATAGAAGATTACATATAATCAAAAACCACCTTTAAGTAAGGTTCACCTGAAAATAAACAAAATATGCAACAGGATTGAAATTTTGAAAAAATTCAAAACTCATACCACTCACATTCATGTGAGTGTCACCTAAACAAGACACTTGTGTATGGTCCTAATGAACCACAAAACATGTCACATGATCAATGTGTGTAATAAGATTTTACATCCTTGACAAACAATCAGCCACAACATTATCAATACCCTTAATGTGGGAAATTTCCAGATTAAAATTTTGGAAATATAAACACCATCTCAATATTCTTTGATTCTTCTGTCCTAACTTAGAGGTAAATTTCAGGGGATCATGGTCAGAAAACACTCTGACCGGATTGATTGAAGAAGTGACATAGACTTCAAAATGTTGTAAGGACAAAACCAAAGCTAAAGCTTCTTTTTCAATAGTAGAGTAATTCTTTTGGTTCTCATTTAACTTCCTGGAAAAAAAAGCAATTGGATGGTCAATCCCCATGTTGTCTTCTTGAAATAGGACTGAGCCAATGGCTAAGTTGCTAGCATCAATGGCAAGTTTAAAGGGCTTGCTGAAATCTGGTGCAGCCATAACAGGAGCATTAGATAAAAATGACTTAATGGTTAAAAAAGCTTCATGACATTTAGTTGACCATTCAAACTCAACACCCTTTTTCAATAATGCAGTAAGAGGTTCAGCAACAGCTGAAAAGTTTTGACAGAACCGCCTATAGTAACCAGCCATCCCAAGAAACTTTTTGATTTCTTTACAATTTTTGGGAGGAGGCAACCTTACAATAGCATCTACTTTAGCTTCAATGGGCCTAACTTTGTTCGTTCCCACTTGATAACCCAAATAGGTAATTGAGCCTTTACAGAAATCACTTTTATGCAGGTTTACAGTAAAATTAACTTCAGACAATTTTCTAAAAAGGTTAGTCAACTGAACAATATGTTCTTCAAAAGTATTAGAAAATACAACTATATCATCTATGTAGGCCTCACATTGGTCTATGTCAGCAATGACAGAGTTAATAACCCGCTGGAAAGTTTGACCAGCATTTCGCATACCAAAGGGCATACGTTTGTATCTATAAAAACCATTAGGGGTTACAAAAGCAGATATTTCTTTTGCACGGTCAGATAAGGGGATTTGCCAGTATCCTGATAGTAAATCAATTTTGGAAATTATCTTAGCTTGACCAACTTTATCAATAACGTCTTCTATTCGAGGTAATGGATAGGAATCAGCTTTGGTGAGCGCATTTACCTTCCTAAAGTCGGTCACAAACCTGAAAGATCCACCGTCTTTCGGGACTAGAAGACATGGGGAACTCCAGTTGCTGAAACTGGGTTCAATGATATCATTCTTGAGCATATAATCAATTTCATCTTTTATCAAAACAGCTTTTTCCGGGTTAACTCTATAGGGGTGTTGTTTGATGGGTTTTGCATCACCTACGTCTACATCATGAGGTGGAACCTTCGCTTCTTTGGGGACATCCCCAAAAATAGAGGGAAATGTCTCAAATAACTGAGACAATGTATGGCTTTCCTCTGTGGACAAATGCATAAGGTGGTCATTTAGATGATCTAAAAAGGAAGAATTTACCAATTTTGGGGGTTTCAATTTGTCATGTATCACATCATCAGAAACATTTGAACATACAGGTAAAGTAATTTTAGCTGTGGAATGAAAATTGTTACAATTATCATAATACTTTTTCAGTGAGTTAACATGATACACTGTCTGTTTCTTTCTTCTGTCTGGCGTATTGACAACATAGTTCAAATCACTTAATTTTGAATGCACAGTAAAGGGTCCACAATATCTAAAGGATAACGCATTGTTCAGATTAGGCACTAGCACAAGAACTTTCTCGCCTGGATTGAATGTTCGTTTACGAGAACTCTTATCATACAGTCCTTTCATTCTCACTTGGGCCTTTCTTAAGTTCTTGTGATCCATTTCGCACACGGCTTTCAGTCGAACGTGAAAATCGTCAAAGTTTTCCACTGGATGATCACTGGTACCTGTCCAACGCTCGTGGATCAGCTTCAGGGGACCACGGACAGAATGTCCAAACACAAGTTGAAAAGGAGAGTAACCTAGAGCTTCCTGGACACAGTCTCTCGCGGCGAAAATAATCCATGGAACAATCTCATCCCATTGGGTGTTACTTTTAGCGAATGTTCTTAGCATGGTTTTTAGGGTCTGGTGGAACCTCTCAAGTACGCCTTGAGACTGAGGGTGGTAGGCTGAGCTGGTGATGTGGGTAACGCCTAGCTTGGCTAGCGCTTCCTGAAAATGGTGACTGGTGAAGTTGCTGCCTTGATCTGTTTGAACGATTCTAGGTAATCCAAAGGTAGTGAAGAACCGGGTCATGGCCCTGACTACAGTCTTTGCCTTAATGTTCCGTAAGGGGAACGCCTCGGGAAAACGGGTACTTGAACACATAAAGGTAAGTAGGTACTCGTTGCCCGCCTTGGTTTTAGGCAAGGGACCTACACAGTCCATGACGATTTTAGAAAAGGGTTCTTCTAAGACAGGAATCGGGCTCAAAGGGGCCTTAGGAATTTTCTGGTTTGGCTTTCCGGCCAACTGACAGTTCGTGCAACTTTTGCAGTAACGCGACACATCATTTCTCATTGTGGGCCAAAAGAACAGTTCTTTGATCTTCGCCGTCGTTTTAGTGACTCCTGGGTGCGCTGACATTGGATGGTCATGTGCCAGTTTCAGTATTTCATGCCGATAAGGTGGAGGTACCCACAGCTGGTTTTTACCCAACCATGGTTCGGCAGGTGAGGCATCCACTGGTACAGAGCGACGAAAGAAGAGGCCGTTCTCGGAGAAATATTCCCCATCGTCAGATGAGAGAGATTTTTCGACCATTGCCTTGAGTTCCGCGTCGACTTGTTGAGCTTTAATGATGTCTTCCTGAGATATCCTCAGGGGTAAGCCCAGGCTTGTGTTCTCTGGAAGCATAGACTCCAGTTTGGGAGTCGAATTTCTTGACGATGATGGTAGGTGTGGTTCAGACGTTGTGTCAGCCAATTGTTTGGTCTGGCTTCTTGTCACCACACATGCAGGATACAGTTCATTATCATTATCTGGAACTGTTGACAAAGGGTTTTGAACCGTACAGGGGTATACTTTGCTTCCCGCAAGGTCATTCCCTAGAAGTAGGTGTACTCCTGGGACAGGAATACTATCTATCACACCTAAAATGACTTCGCCTTCGACGAGATGATGTTTCAGGGCAAACTTGTGTAGAGGGACTACAGTAGATTTTGTCCCTACTCCCTGGATAATGGAAACATTTCCGGTGTTCGTCTCCGGTGTAATGTCCATTGAACTTTTCAAAAGAAGTG